TGTAAGAGGACCTAGCCTCCAGATGCCCTTATAATGTTCATCTCTGGAGTTTGGGGCTCCCTGTGCCCCCTAGTGGCTTGTCTGAGTAACTGAAGTGGTACTTTCAGCCCTTAATCCATTCACTCATCTGTTGTACCATCCAAAAGAAGCACTGCCTGTCCACCACCCGCACAGTTTCTGTCCTGGAAGCTCTCCTGATGGAATGTGCATGCCCTCCTGATATGTCAGAGATCTGTATGTTTGAGAGCACCAGGGGCAGCATTTGATGGGAGACTCTTAGTCCGGGTGCAGCAGCTCTGGAACGTAACTGGGTGATCTCTCTCAAGCATGCTGCAGTTAGACCATTCACTGCTGGAAATAGCTTCTATGGGTATTCCACATACGAGCACGCAGACAGACTGCCAGGGTGTTTGTTGCAGCACGTGCTTAGCAGATGATCTACACCCAGCAATGGGTATATGCTAAACTCTTCCTGGAGCCCTTGGAAAATGGAACACCCCTAAGTCCCACTGTTACCCTGCCTGGGACTCTGCCCCTTCAAATTGGTTCTGGCTCCCCCAACTCTGCAACCTGTCCCCTGCGTTTTCCCCCCACTCCAGGTCCCCTCACCCTGCCATGTTTTTCCCAGAACATATCTGCTGCCATTTCCTTATTTATTATGTTTATTGTCCATCTTGCTCCACTAGACTCTCAGCTCTCCCAGTGCAAGGGTTTCATCTAGTTTATTCAATTTTGTGTCCTAAGCTCCTCTCACAGTGCCTGACAGAGAGCTGACACCTAATAAAAGTTTGTTGAATGAGTGAAGCCAACGGCATGAAAGTTGCAGAGCACGGGATACAGAAAGATCCTCAAGGATATTAAGCGGGAAAAGAAAACTCTAGAATCACATGGACACTGTGTTCCACCGTGTAAAGAATGTGGGTGCAATGTTTTCCTGTATACTGTCATCACCCCAAAATAAACAAAGTCTAATAAATAAAGCTATAAAGATGACTGGAGATGCCAAAGAAAGGGAGAACATTTTGGTGGGGGTTCTTTGACCTGGGTGTGCAACAAACATTCATTAAGCTCCTGTTAGGGGGCCTCCCCGGTGGTTCAGCGGTTGAGCACTGGGTTGCGAAGCTGCCCGCAGCCTCTGCAGCACTGGTTCAATCCCCGGCTGCTCCCCGGCCACCAGAGGAGGGCCCCACATGGCGCACAGACCTCTCCTGCCACCCGCTGCTCCCCTCAGCAGTGTACTTCGGTCCTTCTGCCTGCTCTGCTCCCCGCTCTGGCTCTGGTGAATTCTCTCGCCCTCCCGCGCTTCTGACTGTACCCAGTGCTTGTATAAATAAATAAATAAATCTTTAAAAAAAAAAAAAAAAAGCTCCTGTTAGACCCTTGTTATATTAGACACAGCTATGAGGAAATGTTCATTGGAGGATGTGGCATTTGAGAATGGCTTTGAAATATGGACAGGTCTGCGCCAGAAAGAGATCTTCTAATGACAGGAATAGCATGAGAATTTGGGAGGCTCAGAGGTGCTATAATTACTGAGAGAATAGTTCTGGTTGTAAGAAGTAAAATCTATATACAAGAAAAAGCAAGTGAGAAAGTTGTCAAGATGTCTTGGTTCCAGCTGAAAAAGGACACAAATGGGAGGCTTGTTCTTTTTTCTTAATTTGGTGCGCAACAAAATTTGAATGTTTGCAATAAAGATGTTTTTTAATTAAAAATTAAATATCATTTAAAAATAAAAATAGGACCTCCCCGGTGGCACAGTGGGTTGAACGCCACGCTGTGAAGCTGTCTGCAGCCTCCGCAGCACCGTTCGATTCCCGGCTGGCCAGGGAGATACCCACATGGCATGGCAGACCTCTCCTGTCGCACCCGCTGCTCCCCTCAGCAGTGTTTTTGGTCCATCCTCCTGTTCTGCTCCCCACTCTGTCTCTGGTGAATTCTCTCACCCAACTGTGCCTCTGGCCTGCACTCCAGTTCTTGTATAAATAAAATAAATCTTAAAAAAAAAACTTACATAAAAATAACACGAAGCACCAGTGATATGGTCAGAGACAAGCCCAACCAGAGGGATGTGGGTCCTGTATAAGGCAGAACTTCTGGTTGGATGGGAGGAGGGGAGCATCCTGGAGGGAGGGACTGGCCCAGGATCTGCCTCCCCTTGGAGTCCTGGTTCAGGTCAGGCTTTCAGACTCCCCAAGGGAACAAATTCTCTTGTCCCTGAGATCCAACGGATTTGGTACCCACACTCCCTGAGCCCCTGGTAGCTGAGAGAGGGGTTGGGGCTCTCCCCAGGACCTGCTCGCCTCTCCTCCCAAGCCGTCCCCAGGACCTGCTCACCTCTCCTCCCAGAGAGTGTTTTCTTGTTCTGTAAACAAATGCTCAGAAAATCACACAAAAAGCAAGCCAGAATTCCTCATGAAAGTCAACATGCTGTGAGCCTTTACCAGGTGCTCAGCCTGGCCATACATTCTATACCTGTGGGCGCCAGTTTGTCTGGGTTCCAATCTTGACCCTATACTCACCAACAATAGTGCCTGGAACAAGTCACTTGACCCTTTGAGCCTCAGTTTCCCCATCTATAAAGCAGAGAGTAAAAGCAGCACCTGCCTATGGGGCCTCCCTGGTGGCGCAAGGGGTTAAGTCTCAGCACTATGAAGCTAAGACCAGCCACTGTGGCATGAGGTCCATCCCCAGCCAGGGAGCTACCCACATGGTGCAGCAGACCTCTCCTGTCTCACCTGCTGCTCCTCTCAGCTGTGTATTTCAGTCAGTCTGCCTGTTCTGTTCCCCACTCTGTCCCTGGTGAATCCTCTCACCCCCACACACACCTCTGGCCAACACCCTAGTTCTTGTAAGCATAAATAAATAAGTCGTTAAAAAAAAGTAGTACCTGCCTACTGTCCAGGATTATTAAAAGATATAGTCGTATATTAACTGTTACTATTTGTCAGCGGGTATCAGACACCAGCTCTGCCAAAACCCTTGACTCCTCTGAGCCTCCATTTCCTCATCAGTGAAGCGGGGAGAGTCTTAGCTCCCCAGGAGGCTGTCGTGAGTTCGTTAATGCAAGTCAAGCTCAGAGCTGGCACAGCTGACTCAGCATGCTGGCTGTTCTGATTTCCAACCTCTTTACAGGATGCTATTATCAACCCCACCTTTTGCAAGTGACTCACTTAAGCACCAGTATTTGCACCAAGAGTTCCTGCACAGGGGACCCTATTCCCATGTAAAAGGAATTATGCGGGCCCCAGGCTGAGGCCAGCCCCAACTGCCAGGGCAGGTCTTTCTCTTCCACCAGGTAGGAAGGCTCCATCCTGTGAGTCCTTTGCGTCTTTGGTCCCATCAGGAGTCTCCTCCCAGCTGGGCCAATGGGCAGGACCCCGGCACACAGTAGGCTGACTCTGGGAGCCCCGCCTACCCTCCTTCCGCCCTTCCACACCCCTCCATGGGGGCGGGACAGATTAATACTAACAAAGCTGCCTCCGGCCCCTCCCACACAGAGCAGCCGGGAACTGGACCAGCAGGTAAGCCCCAGAGCCGGGCGGCTCAGGCCTGTGAGGGCACAGCTGCAGGTACCAGGGGCCACGGGCTGCTGGAAGGGAGCACTGGACGTTGGAGGGGTACTTGTTGGCGACAGCAGGTGGCCTTTCCCCTAGTTTCAGGCTGTGGATCAGGAGGCCACCGAGATAGGAGAGAAGAAGGGCCTCCTCCTCCGCCGGCCGGCTCGACGGGTTGGACTTGGGACACCCTGAGCCAAATGGGTGTACTCCAGACCCCTCCTGTCCAGGCCATAAGACTGGGTCTCCTCTGTCCTCTGCCCACAGGCATTTCTATGCCATTGGGATGTGGGGGCAGCCTCTCCTACCAGGTAGAGGCTAGAACCTCACTAGCTCCATGGCTGGGAGTTGGGATGGGCGCTAAGGCGAAGGGAACCCAGCCAGGGTCAGCCCTGTGGGAAGCCTGAAGCACTTCCAGGGAGAGAGGAGCACTTGTGGGAGAGAGGAGGAGGAGAGCTCAGCCCCCCCGCAGGCTGGCCTGGCTTCCATTATCTCCCTGCTTCTTCCCTGGCAGTTCAACAAGCCTCTGTACCTTTGGAGAAACAGAGGTCCCGAGAGGGTAAGCTGTTGGCCTGAGGACACACAGCCTGTGAGCACAGGCCTGGATTACCAGCGCGTGGGCAAGCACCACCTCTTCTCTGGGCCTCAGTTTCCCCACATCGGCACCACGGGAATGCCGAGTTGAGATGCGGCAGGAGAAGTGAAGGTCTCTTGAGCCACGTGGGTGTGAGGGCTGGGGCTGGGGCTGGGCCGTGGGCTCTCAGCACAGCCAGCTGCTCCTGTGTCTCCATCTCCTCGCCTCCTCCTCCTCCTCTTCCTCAGCTCCTCTGTTGGCCCTTCTCTCTGTGTCTCTCACTCTAGGTTTTTTTATTTTTGACCCTCGCAGTCCCCCTTCCTGGTGTGTGGACTCAAAGCCATGCGGCGCCAGCTGTCCAGCTGGAGGACACCCCCACCTCTCTGACCTAACTAGGGTGAGAGCAGCCCCTACCCCAGGTGGCGCCTGCAGGGCCCACACAGACGCTGGGCCAAGCTCTCCAGGAGGCTGAGACCTGGGACAGCATAACTCAGACCCTTGTCCAGGAGCAGGGTGTGGCTGGGGCCCAGGCTGCCAGCTGGCTCTGCCCGGGGCCACCCGCGCCACTCAACTGAAACAGCTGAGCAGGCTGGGTCAGGCGGCCCAGCCCTTGCAAGCCAGATGGCCACATGGACACTGGGAGAGAGGACAAGGACCTGCTCGCATGGACATTGTGCCAGCTTTTAAAAGATAGACACGATTAAGCGTGACGGAGCCGGTGCAAGGGCCCAGCCGAGCCCGCAGGACACAGAGCTGGGGGAGGAGGCCGTTGGGCCCCAGGGGCCAGGGAAGCACAGGGCCTTCTTTGCCAGGCAGAGGAGGACCCTAGCGAGGGCACACTGACCTGGGCAAGCCACCCCCACTTCCTTCACTCCCTTGGGCCCAGGATAAGCTTTGGATGAAAGAATGTAGGGAGAGACATCTTTGCCTGGAGCTAATCTTCTGGCTTCTCTGGCACTGTCCCACCTCTTTGGGCGCCTCAGTCTTAAGTTCCTGGTCTCTCACAATTGCAGAAGGGGCCCCCAGAAGCAGAGATGTTTTTGAGACTTTCTCAGATTGCCTCGGGCCTGCACACCATTTCTCCCCTTCCCAGTTCAAGTATTGAGGAGGCAGAGGGTAAGTGAAAAGAAATCCTGTTCCAACTTGGGCCCTGCAGCCTCTTTGCTACCCCCTCACCCCAGAACCTTGCCCAGCCCAGGCTGGTCAAGAGGGCCGAGACCACAGTCGGACATGCCTGGGTTCAAATCTTAGCTCCCAGATGACCAGAGGTGTGACTTTGGGTAAATCACTTTCCCTCTCTGAACCTCAGTTTTCTCCTCTCTAAAAATGGAGCCAATTGTAATGTCTACTTCAGGGTTGCTGCACAGATTTGATGGATAATGATGTAAAGCACTTAGCACACGACCCAGCAAGATAAACAGCCAATGGCAGCTACTGATGTAGTTGTTCATGTTGTTATTACTATTGTCTTCCATTGGTTGGATTACTACCCAGATTCCTAGAGGGCTAATAGATTTTATTCCTGCTTCCACCCTGGCCCCATGTTATTCTCATAACAGCTGGCAAGGTTCAGTTAAATACTAAATTAGAGCTATTCCAACCTCTGTTAGGCAATGGTGATTTGGGTTCACAGAAAACACCCACACTTTTGCCTGCAGGGGTCTATGTGACTTGTGTGTCTCCCCGCTACCTGCACTGCTGCAGCCACACTGGCCTCCTGGTTATTCGTCCAACATCAGGCTCTGTTTCTGGGACACAGCTGGTGAGGCCTTACCCCAGGGCCTTTGCACTTGCTGTTCCCTTTGGGCCCCTCTTTACCCATACAAGGCTCACTCCCACAATCCCTTCATGTCCTGATGATCAGCCCATTTATGATTGCAGCCACCCTCCTGAGGTCCTGTTCCTCCCAGCTCTGCATCCTGCACAGCCCTTATCCCTGCTGGCTTGCTCTATCCTTTTGTTTTACATTTTACTTAGTGATTGCTTCCCACACTTTCCGGAGAGCCGAGATTGTTGCCCAGTGCACAGCAAGTACCTGATAAATATTGGTTAAATGAAAGAACAAGTACAGGAAGATCATTATAGAAAAAGTAGAAAGTAGAGATAGCCTTTTTAAAAATATTCCTCCCAACACAATGAGCATTAGTTACTCTGAGCCACTCCTTAGGTCTCTGGAACAGCCAGGCCTCTGTCCATGCAGCTCCCTCCGCCTCAGACATCCCCCCCTCCTTGTCACTGATGGCATTCCTTGCGCACCCTTCAGGTTCAGGGCCATGTGGCTGGCTGGCTGGGGGCGGGCCAGGGCAGGGTAACCATAATGGAGTACCATAGCACCTTTGTGACTGATTTCCAGAAAAGGAAACAGACTCACAGAACCAAATTATTTCCTTCAAATGACAGCCTTGGAGACACCTGGATCAGAACTCAGACAATTCTGCTCTGTGGTTTGTGGGGATTTAGGCTTTTGATGCAGGGGACCCACTGCATATAAATGACAAGTCGGTTTGCCCTGTACACCCCCATGTACCACTCAAACCCACTGTTCTAGTCACACTACCAGTTTCACTCCTGCCCCAGGACCTTTGCACAAGTATCTCCTCTGCCTATATGTTCTTTGGGTATTTTTATTGTTTCCATTTTTAAAATATTTAATACAGCTGGAGCTGATTTGGGTGAGGGCAGAGAAGAGGGGAGGTAAGAGGTAAGAGAGAAATACAGCTTTATTTGTTTTTCCCAATGACTATCCAATAGCAAGTCTTATTCCTAACTCATTCTATGCAGGGAAACTGCAGATTAGTAAATGTGTAACTTGCCAGCTTATTGAACTCTCTCATTAGCTTACCAGCTTTTCAGATGATAAAGGTAACCATCTTCTGCAAATTCACTTCCTCCCTTTAATTATTTACTTATTCCTCTCTATTAGCCATGTCATTTATCTCCGGCTCTATATTCTTGTTTATTTTTATACCACTGTCTGCTGTCAAGGGCTAGAAGAGTGAGTGAACATCCCACTATTGCTGACCTTCTGTTCATTTCTCTTGGCATGTCTGAGGCTTTTGAGGAATGTTATTCAGGATATAGAGATTCACTATTATGGTCCATTGTGAATTTCAGTCTTTATCAAAACAAATCTGGCTCTCAATTTATATTTTTGTTATCAAATTCCACATTGAGAGCATTTTGTTTTTCTCTTTTCCTCTGTCCTTCCTTCCACGCCTCTCTCTCCCTTTCTTCTTTCCTGCCTTCCTTTTTTTTTTAAAAGATTTATTTATTTATGCATACAAGAGCTGGGGTACAGGCCAGAGATGTGGGGAGTGAGAGGATTCACCAGAGACAGAGTGGGAAACAGAATTGGCAGATTGACTGAAATACACTGCTGAGGGGAGCAGCGGGTGAATCAGGAGAGGTCTGCTGCGCCATGTGGGTTGCTCCCTGGCCGGGGGTCAAACAGGTTCTGCAGAGGCTGCGGATAGCTTCATAGTGCTGTGTCTTAACCCCTTGCTCCACCAGGGAGGCCCCTCCTTCCTTCCTTTCTTTCCAATTTCTCTGTAAGCCTCTGCCCCAAGTTTGCTCCTAACCTTTTAGTGCCCTATAAACTGTGACTAAGCAACTGATTTGGTTTGATTTTGGCTTTTGATCACATCCCAATTGGGGTCAAGACCCTTGTTGCTGAGTTAGGACATTAGCAGTAAAGAAGATAAATGCATACATTCATTTTAGGTTACTATAATCAGTCAGTATACATCCTTGAACACATCTCTGTACATTTACCCAATATTTTGCAGTATGTAAGACTGACATTAACAGAAGATTATTACATGTAAACAACAGCATTAAACAATATAGTTCAGAAGCAGTCAGGGCGGGACTTGTATGGTGGTTCTGTGCCACATATTTTGAGATCTAGCCTCCACACCACTCCTCATAGAGCAAAATGGCTGCTGGGGTTCTGGCCATCACATCTGAGTTCCAAGAAGCAGGATAGGGGAAAAGCAGAAGAGGACATTCTCTTATCTTCAAGGAGACTTCTCAAAGTCCCTCACAACTTCACTGACCTGCAGTTGATAGGATGGTCACCCACCGTGGGGCTAGGGAATGTGGTCTGTTAGCTTGGTAGACATCTGGTCTCTGTAACAACTGAGGAGGAAGGAAAGAGTGGCTGATGGGAAATAGCCAGTCACCTGTGCCTGCTCTCATTTCTGGTGGAGGTGAGCAGCCATTGCCCTTTCTGGGTCATTTTGGACCATTCTGTGGGAAACCAGGAAGCTACATTGGAGCTCCTGGCCTTTGAAGAAGGTCCTCTCCTTCCTGCATTCCACTGACCCCCACCCCCAATAAAGAAATGCCTATTTGGCAGCCCTGAGTTATCTGCCTTGGCCAAAGTGGAGTGGGGAGGGGGCCCTGCCTCCTCATCCCCACCCCTGTCTCCCTCTCTGAGCACCCACTCTCCACCCCCAGCTCCACCGCTGCCTTGATCACTAGCTGTGCCTGGCCTGCAGCCCACACCTCTCTTCCTTATACTTCCCTCTGGGGCAGCCACTGTGGCAGTGATTGCTCTGTTGTCTCCCTCACAGCACTGGCATAAGTAGCTACTGAATTATCCATTGCTGATAGATGAGGAGGAAGTGATGCCATGAGGAATTATTTATAGTGTGGTATCCAGAAGTGATCAGGGCACACTTATGTCTTCAAATACAAGTGGTATGTTTGCTGAAAGAGCGGTTGTGGCACGTAACATTCACTGAGCACGTATTATGTCAGCCACTGTTCTAACACTTGCACATTCACAGTCACAATGATCCTGGTGTTGGCACTGGGGGCCTCCTTCCATTTTGCAGGAGAAAAATCAGTTGTCAGAAGTTAAGCCATTTGCTCAGGGTGGAAGCCAGAATTTAAGCCCAGGCATCGGCCTCAGATGCACAGCAGGAGGAAGCAATGCGGTGGCTGGAGCCATTGCCCGGAGGCCCAAGACTGCACTGCAGCCCCCACTTTGCCCCCAACTAGGAAGGAGCCCTGAGCAGCCGCATCTCCCTCTCAAAAATAAGAGCTGGGCTCCATCAAGGCTCACACTGCCCACTGGCCCAGCGGGACCCAGGCAGGTAACCTGAGTTAAAGTGAACCAAGGGAGGGTGTTGCTGTGAGGCCTTGCAGGCTTGCTGTGGCCAGGTCTTCCCAAAACTCCTGAGAAGCCAGAAAGCCTGAGTTCACGTGCCACCTCCTGTCTTTTGGCCTTCGGTAACCGTGTACAACATGCATCAAACCAAAATAACATGCCTGTTGCCCTGCGCAGCCAGTGGGCGACCAATTTATAAATCCTCAGCTAGGTCATCCCACACGCCAGCACTGTGCCTTCAGAATGGATTCCAAAGCAGCGCTGCCCTCCAGAAGCCTCAGTCTTCCCAGTACCTAGTTCCCTGCACACATCTGCACCACCTTAAACAAAGGGCCCATGGGGCCCAGGTGAGGACACCTGCGAAGGGCCAGGCAGCCCACAGAGGTTTCCTGGGGTGGGGTCCTGTGGAAAGCTGGGGTGTACAGGGAGGAATAGGGACAGACGCCAGGCTCAGAGCACAGCACAAAGTCCAGAGCAGCAAGGCGCCCCACGGACCCTGGAGTAGTTCCTCTCCCTTGGGTCCCAGAGCTGGGCCAGGGTGGTGACTTGGCTGTTGTACTCCCACACACCGGCACAAAGCAGGAGCTGAGTTATCCCTGGGGGACAGGCAGCTTCTGGTGAGAAAGCAGTCCTGGTGAGAAAGCTGCAGTCCTCCAGCCAGCAGCTGGAGGAGCGGGTTGGACTGCATTCTGTTGCAGGAAGCCAAGGTGACAGGGAGCCGGCATGAATCAGGTTTCCTCCACTGAGGAAGGAGGCAAGAGGAAGGGCGTCAGGCCTTGACAGTTGACTCTGTGTGGGGAAGCCTGGAGAGATGCTGCCCTGTGTCCTGGTGAGGCTGGTGAGTTTCCTGTAAGGCACAGCCACAAGAATGTGCCTACATGTGCCAGCAGAGAGACTAGGCGTTCAGCACTGCAGGTGAGAGCTGAGCAAACGAGGAGTCAGGGGTCACCTTGGGGTTGGGAGTAGGGAGCAAGGGCTGCAGTGGACACATTCCAAATCCTACTCCCAGCCTCAGGCGAGCCCCGCCCCTCCAGACCCCACCTCATCTCCCATCTGTAAAAGGAGGTAGTTGGCCCAATTGATATTTGTCTCCAAAATGATGCAGATGGCGCCAGTGATTCAGGTGATAGCTTATGGGGGATTTGTTTTTCCTTTTTTAATGTAAATAACCATTGTTCATCTTCATGTGAATTGGAAAAAAGTAACTATGTTACCAAATAATAGTTGGGCCTTAGTGGGTGCCTACTGTGTGCCAGGCTTGTATTTGAGATGACATAAACTCATTAACATATTTGCATCTCATTACTAACCATGAAGTCCATATTATCATTGTCCTCTATTTGAAGCACCAAGAGGCAGAGTCACTTGCCCAAGGTCACCCAGTTAGTAAATGGCAGAGCTGGGTTCAAGCCCAGGCAACTGACTCCAGCCTTACTCCCAACCTCCAATAGCTTTGCTTAGACTGAGGGTAGATGGGAAATCCAACAACAGTGCAGGGGCTATGACAGATGATTGAGAAGGTGGCAAACGGATGACAGAATGGCTCCAAGAACTAGAGTTAGGAAGTATCCAAGAACCTGTCCAGTTTGGGATTTCTGTAATTTCAGAAGAAAAAAGATTGAAATTTAGTTCAGGTAATCATATTTTTATAACAGGTAGTATGTTGGCGTGGTTCACAAATCTAAGCTATATGAAAAGGAAAGGACCTTAAGCATTCCTGTGTGTCCTCAAGGGGCTGTCACAAGTACAAGCAAAGAGAACATGTTCTCTGCCCTCTTCCCTGTGGCCAATCGGCGGCATATTGTCTATCAAGACTGTTGGATCAATGTAGCCTGTCCCTATCAGTCAGCGAGTCCTCCACAATCCTCATTCCTTTAAACAGGTGTGTGATATTCTGACAGGTGCTGTAAATATCACTTTTATTAGTCCCTCCTCTGGATCTTTTCCCATATTTTGCTGTTACCAACAAAGCCACAAGAATAATAACCTGTACATTAAGTCATTCTGTCCAGGACAGATACCCTGTGGCTTTGGGGCAATCTCATGATGAGAAAAGATACTTTGCAATCACTGTCCATCAGTTTCCCATGATGAATGAGAGTGATGCCCTCATATTTTTAAGGCCTTTGTACATTTTTTTCCTCCAAACTGTGCATATCCTTTGCCTACTTCTCTATTGGGATGTTTTGTTCTTAATTTCTAAAAACTCTTTGTATATTAGGAAGATGAACTTTCTATGATTTATATTGCAAATATTTCCCTAAGTTTATCATTTATCTATTGATCTTGGTTTTTTTTCCTTCATTTACTTGCTTGCTTTTGTGTTTTAATATTTTTTGCAGGTGAATCAATCACTTCTTTTGTGATCTCTGAATTTACATACAAATCATGGCTAGGAAAGATTTTCCCACTCTAAAGGTTGGCTATAAAGGCATTTTACATGTTAGTAAAAAGTCACCTTGTTCATGGAGAGGGGAATGATAAGAGAAAACCCTGGGTCCAAAAGCACAGTCTTTTGCTAGATGGTGAACTTGATATTGCTCACCCGGTATTTTTTTCTCCATCGGTCCCACTGCAGGCTGATCTGGGGAGGTGGGAGCCTCTAGCCCAGGGCAGACTTCACCATGGCCCTCCTGATACACCTGCTGGTCTGCACCTTCGGGATGGGCTCCTGGGTGGCCATCAACGGGCTCTGGGTGGAGCTGCCCCTGCTGGTGACGGAACTGCCCGAGGGCTGGTACCTGCCCTCCTACCTTACTGTGGTCATCCAGCTGGCCAACATTGGCCCCCTCCTGGTCACCCTGCTCCATCATTTCCAACCAGGCTGCCTATCTGAGGTGCCGATCATCTTCGCCGTGCTGGGTGTGGGCATCATCGCCTGTGCCCTCTTCGCCTTCCTTTGGAACGTCACCTCATGGGTGCTAGGAAATCAGCACAGTATCGTCTTCTTGGTCCTCACCTTCTTCCTGGCCCTGGTGGACTGTACCTCCTCCGTCACCTTCCTGCCCTTCATGAGCCGGCTGTCCAACCACTACCTCATCACCTTCTTTGTGGGAGAAGGGCTCAGCGGCCTCCTGCCCGCCCTGGTGGCACTGGCCCAGGGCTCAGGTCTCACCACCTGTGTCAATGTCACTGAGCCATCAAACAGCACCTCAAGCCCTGAAGCCACCAGGAAGACCAACACCTTGCAGGTACCCGGTGTTACCCAGGGCCAAGTGTCCTGTGGCTGGTCAGAGCAAGGGCAAGCTTCATCTGTGTCTGGTCACAGTGAGAGCACACAGAGGGCCATATTCCTGGTGTTGGGAGACCTGGCTGCACTTTAGATTACCTGCAGGGGTTATTAAGACACACCGATGGGCCCCACACATCCAGGCCAATTAAATAAACTCTCCAAGGCAGGGCTTCCCTGAAATCCTGGGGGTCAGATGTGTTTGGAAATGCAGTTTTAGGATGAGGCACGTAGCAGTCTGGACTCACCCCTGGGGTGCATCGATCCAGCACTGGACCCCATGGCTACAGCCAGCCAGCACTCACACCCGCTGGGCAGACTGGGGCTAAAGACAGCCTCCCGTCCATTCAAGTCTTGAAAAGGTCCTGAGTCATGAAAACATTCTGACTTTTTGGAGGTCAGAATTGCAGGTCAGAGATTGTGAGCTCGTATTTATTCAAAATTCCCCAGGTGATGCTAAGCCGCTGCCAGGGTTGAGTCCCACAGTCTTCCAGTACTGCTCCAGTTCCTCCCGTTATTGAGACAGCAGACATTTCTCCACTGGAAACTGAACAGTTGACACTGGTCTGGTGTCATCAAAACCACAGAGGTACAGCAATGACTGCAAACCAGTGACTCGTACCATGGCCTTGCGAGTCTTTTTTTGCTTGGTTTTTTTTGAAGCATTTAGACTCATTGATGATATTTCAGTTTTGTAATTTCACATAGATAAATCTAAATATATGGCATCTCTTGAAAAGAGAACTGGTCACATATCACCAGAGTGAGGCTGGCTGCTCTCCTCCGAACATATTTGCGGCTGCAGGCCTGGAGGGCAGGGGCTAGCTTCTGAGTCAGGAAAAAAAAACAAAAACCAAAAAACAGGTGCTCCTGTGACCTGCAGGTAAGACGAACTGTGCTGACACCTCCATTCCCTCTAAACTGGGGGACAACCCACCTGGACCCTGAGGCACACATGAGCTGACACAGCCCAAATGCTGGTGCCCAGTGAGCAATTAGCCTCATTACCGTAGTCGTTAAGTGTATGTTATACATCACTTATTATTAAGAAACACATAATTTCTACTTGCGTTGTATTACTGTTGTTAGGTGTCCGGACATCACCCCGGGATCTGACTGCGCTGCCCCTTTCTGTCTTTCCCCAGGGAGTGAACAACACTTTCGAGCCTGCCCTCTTGGGGACGCTGCCCGCCATGGAAAGCCGCTACCTCCCTGCCAACTTCTCGCCCACCGTCTTCTTCCTGCTGCTCGCGGCCATGATGGTCTGCTGCCTCCTCGCCTTCTTTTTCCTCCAACGCCAACCCAGACACTGGGAAACCTCCATAGAGGACCTGCTCACCTCCCAGGTCACCCTCCACTCCATCCGGCCACGGGCAGAGAGCGACCTGGGGCTCCCCACCATGGCCAACAGCAGCGAGGGCCTGGGGCGCCTAGCAGAGAAGACATCCCCCCACCACCCAGCCCACCTCACCTTCATCTATGGCCTGGTGGCCTTCGTGAATGCGCTCACCAACGGCGTGCTGCCCTCTGTGCAGACCTACTCCTGCCTGTCCTATGGGCCTGTGGCCTACCACCTGTCCGCCACCCTCAGCTCCATGACCAGCCCTCTTGTCTGCTTCCTCTCCATGTTCCTACCTAACAGGTCCGCCCCACTGTCTGGCCCTGGGGAACTCTGTTTGGGGGTACACTTCATTCCAGAACCCAGAATTCTCAGGTTGTAGTGGTTAAGGATATGGTTTCTGGGGCTCAGTTGTCTGAGTTCAAAACCTGACTCGCCATGCACTCACTGTGTGATACGGAACAAGTCACTCCACCTCTCTGTGCCTCAGGGGTATTAAGCTGGAAAATGGAGCTATGGTTCTAGGATTGCTGGGAGCTTATTTTGTAAAGCTCACAGCTTAAGGGGTAGAATTAGGATCTGAACAAGTCCATGCAGCACAAGAGGCCATCTGGTTCTCTTTCTGGGACTCTGGGCCCTGACGTAGTGCCCAGGGTGACTCAGCCAGTCTTCCCTCAGGAGCCTCACTGACCTGCTTGAACCAAGTAGCTGGGAAGTTCCACAGGCATCTAACCTCTAGCCTGGGAGAGGGTGACCATTTTACATGGAGGTGGAGGAGTTGGTGAGGGAAGGGTAGAAGCCAGGTTTCTTACTCCCCACTCATTTCCATCACTGTCCCCTAGGTCTCTGACATTCCTGAGTGTCCTCACAGTACTCGGGACCGGCTTTGGGGCCTACAACATGGCCATGGCGGTGATGAGCCCCTGCCCTCTCTTGCAGGGACACTGGGGCGGAGAAGTCCTCATTGTAAGTATCTGCTGTACCTCTGATGCCCAACCTAGCCCAGACCCAGGGAGACCAGGGTATAGTTTTTTCCTATCGACCAAAGTCTTTGTTGTTGCTTCCTGGGGAAGCCCCGGGGTAGGGAGGGGGCAAGGGAGAAGCTGTTTTTCACTGGGGAGTGAGATGGTGGGTCAGTCTCTCCCCTGACCTCGATGCCAGTCAGCTCGCCATATGCATGTCACAGATGCCCTTGGCTTTATCATAGGGACAGAAAATTCAGCGGGCTCACCTTTAGTGCTGGGGAGGTCAAATGTCACACACCCTCTTAGCCCCTGATTCCCTTAGCCCCTGTTAAGTCACACCACAAGCCCCATTTGCTCCTGGGATTCGTCCCACAAGCCCCCCTTCACTCTGCATCTCTCGGGCCCCATCCCCGCAGGTGGCCTCCTGGGTGCTGTTCACTGGGTGTATGAGCTACGTCAAGGTGATGCTGGGCATGATCCTGCGCGACCGGAGCCGTAGCGCCCTCTTGTGGTGCGGGGCGGCGGTGCAGCTGGGCTCCTTGCTAGGAGCGCTGCTCATGTTCCCGCTGGTCAACGTGTTGAGGCTCTTCTCCTCGGCTGACTTCTGCAACCTGCAGTGCTCTGCCTAAGCCAACTGCAGGGGTGGGGTCCGTTAGAGGACCCTGCCCTCGCCCCCCTTACCAAATCCTGGAAGCTGGGACCGAAGAAGCAAGGCCTGGGCTCAACGTGCTGGGAATCTGGAGACTGAGCCTGAGTACTTGAACCTTCAACACAAACGCCCCTCAGCAACAGTGGGGAATGTACCGCTTCCCCCGCAGGGGACCTGCAAATGCAAAGCAAAGCCCACGATGCCTGCACTCCTACCATTTCAGATCGCCCCTCTTTCGACTCTTGAGAAGGAACTGACTGGCAGCGTCCAGCAGAGGCAGGCCCCGTGTGTCAGAGGGGAGTGTGAGCTCACCCCTGCAAGAAGTGGTGTGACCTTGGGAAAGTCACCTGATTTCTCTGGGTCTCAGTTTCCTCCTCTATAACATGGGGATTAAAATAAATAGTGCCTACCTCCTACGCTTGGCACAGTGGTGAAAGGGAGAGGCACCCAGAGGTAACCAGTAAGGGTCATTTCCTAACCTGACAGCCAACAAAAATAACAAGAGTGACGATGATCAACACAACCTGGAAGTGAGAGGGGCTGGAAGACGCCCCGCCTCTGTGCCCTTCTCGCTACCCTCAGGGAGGAGCTGCTGGAAGACAGGGGGCTAAGGGTGGAACCTCAGTGCCATCATGGAGGCCGCTGTGCCCACACCCGTTCCTCACATCCCACTTGACCCCAAGACCTGTTCCTTGGAGAGTGCGTGAACTCCTGGGAGGCAGAGAGAAATGACTGCTGGTTCTGGAAGTGAGTCCATCCCCTCACCCCACCCCCCCCCCCCCCCCCCCACACACACACACACACACACACACACACACGAGCTGGGAGTACAGGACATTTGGGGCCCCTGGAAGCAGCTCCCCCAACTAGAGGGAAGAGCAGTGGGGGTTGGGAGAGCACATCAGCTACCTGATTGTGGTTTTGTTTTGCTTTCCGGTTTGCTTTTTTTTTTTTTTTTAAATAAAGATATTCCTGTATTATCAATATACAAGTCCGTGCCCCCCCCTCCCGCTTTTCAAAAGTCCTTGACTTTAGGAAATACCTTCACTAGTGCCTCTTTTCACTAACAGAAAGAAATACAAAGAGGGCTTTTCCCTTTTAGATAAAAGGTGAAAGGTGAAATTAGCATTCAGTCTTTGTTTAGGAGCAACCTTTATGGAGGTGACCCACAGCCCAGAGCAGCCAGAGTAGTCCCACCAGCGCCCTCCCTGGAGGCAGCACTTTCCACAGGCTAGTGTTGCCCATAGCAGTCCTGCTTTTACTATATGTTAGTGTGACTTGTTAGGTCTTAGGTGTTATCTGGTATGACTTGTTAATTTGGGGATTCCATATAAATTAATTTTAGCTAATTATAAATACATCAATTTTTCCATATTAATTAATGATAACTGTTTTTCCACTTTACATCATTTCTGCCTGAAAGATTTCATAGGAACACTCCACTTTGGGATAGCAAGGAAAACCTGTAATCAGTTTTCAGTTGGTTCCAGTCAAGGCTAAGCTCAGAAATGAACAGAATCAAATATGCTCAGAGAATGTCTAGTCCTGGAATTTCTTCTCTTTAGTGGTTTGTTTTGTGTGCTTGCCACCATCCTTTCTTTTAAATTTATTTTGAATAGATGATATAGTCACATTTAAAAATCAAAAAAGATAAAATTTCATTTCTCCCCTCTCTGCCCAGTTCCTCTTAATACACTCCAGCACTTATATTAGTTCATTTACTCTTCTAGAGATTATGCAAATGTAAACAAATAAAATGTGGAGTAGTAGTGTTATAGGACAGCAGTAAAAAAGTAGTAAACTACCATTTACCTTGCACTTTCAAGACTGAAAATGGAAAGTGTGATCTCCTTTGTCACGATTACATAGTATTCCACCATGAAGCGCCCAATACTCTGTGGAAATGTTATAGGACAGCCCCGATATTGAACGGGTTGCCTGGCTGTGGGTCCTCACCGCGCACTTAAAAGGGACTTATTATCCACAAAGCCTGTATGGAATTAGCTTTAGGACATCCTTTCCCCCTAACAGAAATGCATTTGAAGGTGTTAGAGGCAAAATTAAAAACAATATCCTACCAACCTGGAAAACCTCTCCACAAAAGCAGAAGAGGAAGAAAATAACTTTTATTGAACGAACATTAAACCAGATGGGAGTGGCAAGTCACAGACAATCCACTGAAGAGTTTGCCAAGGCAGAGAGGAGCCCTGCCCTTTGATATAGTCCAGCAGATCCAGCCTATCACATTCATGTTCTCAGTGATAATCAGTTCTCAACTAAGACTAGACAACACCATTTCTCAGAGGTCACCCTGAATTCACCTAGTTGTTGGAGTGGCTATCCGTGTTAGCTCCCTGTCCTTATCCACAGGGAAAATATACTCGTATCTTAATGAGAGGAAGTTATTTTGCACCTTGGAGTCAAACACTGAAGGAGCCTTCCTAACATTCCAGAGAAGCTGGCTGCCCTGATATTTACATTACAAAGAGATAGCTCCCCATCCTGGAGAGACGCATTCCTGGGTAGTCACACTGGCAAAAGGCCTACTCAGTTCTGTTTAAAGACTGAAAATTTTCATGCATCTGAAAGGAGCAGAGAAAGAATTTTCCAGTTTTAAAATAAATGCTTTAAGGAAAAGGAGGAGGAGGATGTCTTTTTTCTCTTGTTGCACTAGGAAGAATTCTTTTATATAAATTCTAAGAAGGAGCTCTCCATGCTCAGATACTCTGACAAGGACTAGGGGAGAGGGTGAGTGACTCGGGACTTGGGAAGCCACCCTCTGTGGCCTTTGCTTTCACCCACTAAAGTCTTTGACAGTCACGGCCTGTCTGCTGTTGACAGCATTTGAGTTACTGCGCATGTCAGCTCAGTCTCCTCTGGACAATGGGATGATAAAAGCAGCCCCCTCCCTGGACTGTTGTGAGGATTAATTGAGCTAATCGGTGACATACCTGCCAACAGTAATGGCTCAAGAAATGTCATGAAAAACCTGCCACTTTGGGAAACTATCCAGCACATACCCTGGACACCCCCCACCCTCCTGAGCTCAAATCTAGTTGCGAGGGAGCCTGACGGTATTTCTATGGCCCAACCGAGTAAGCTCCCTGAGTGAGAGCAGGCCGGGGGTTAGCCTGGGGTTGGCAGCAGGTGGTTCCTGGAGTTCCTGAAGGATAGCCTCCCCAGGCTGCTGCCCCCAAGGAATCAAAGCAAGAAGGGCTGCTCTGGGTTAAATCTGGCCACCCAAACTCCTGAGGCAGATACATTCCCTCCATCATTTCTTGCACTCATGTACTCTTAAAGACTTTCAGAACTGTCTAGAAACCAGAGTCCACAAAGTGAGACCTGGGCTGGGGTCTCATGGATCCGAGCTCCCGGGGGAGCTTGATCAGGTCAATCCTGTCCTGGTTCTAGGGTATTAAAGGGGAAATGAGGAAATGAATAACTGAGGGAGAAAGAGATAAATTGGTGAATGTGTCCTACCAGTTCCGCTGAGCTGGAACCCCAACAGCACGCTTAGAGTCGGCGAAAAACCAAGGACCTCCAAGGCCCACATGTCTGGTAATAAACCAAACCTGGCTGCTTAACTCCACCCTCAGTTCCCAGCAACCCTCCCTCCGTGGTGATGCCGTTATGGGATTGGTGTCTTGGATCTCTTTGGTCCAGGGTGGGGGTGGAGTCCAAAAAAACTATTTGTGGAGTTTGTTCAGGACATCCTTCCCCGCCAACACCAGCCATGCAGATGGGGCGGTGTGCTAGTGGGGGTCCCTGTTCTTCAAGTCTCTGAGCTCCATGAGGGAGGGTCCAAGTCTGACTGCTCAACACGGTGAGCCCTGAGGAGAGCCCAGCAAACATTAGTTTCTGGAATGTGGAATGCTTCTCCCGCCAAGGTGTGCATGCCCTCATTCTTAGAACCTATCAATGTGGCCTTACATGGCCAAAGGGACTTTCCAGCTGGAATCAAGATTACAAACTTAAAAATAGGGGCATATTTTGAATTACTTTAGTGCACCCAATCTGATAATGAGTCCTTAAAAACAGAGAATCAGAAATGATTCAGTGTAAGAAATAAGACGAGAGATGCAACATTATACAAGTCAATAGGAAAAAAAAAAATGGTTAAAAAAAATGGGTTGAAGCAGGAGGACCCAGCCATGACGGAAACACTGGGCCAGTAGAAACATAACACATTCGACTTCTCACCCCTAACAGCGCCAACCAACTGATTTCACCATACCCAGCAGTTTTCAGGAGCTTATTAAGACAATGACTTTGCAACATTCATTTTTCAAGTTAATCCTACCTTGTTTGTCTTCAGGTTAATCTTAAACCATCTTGTTACATTGTTCTAGCTATCTTTGCCTTCCATCCATTATGTGGCCTGACAGCTGGGACAAGGGAAGTTGAAGACCTGATAACAGACTGGACCGTCTCAGGGCAACAGACCCTGAAGCCCCAGAACCCTATATAATTCCAAACCTACGAAAGTGGCGTCCCTGGAGCTCTGTCTCTTGTCTAGTCACTTACAATAAACCTTAACACCTCCTTGCTCTGGTAGGTGCCTCGAGTCCTCATTTCAGTCCTGACTAGGGTTCTCAAGAGTCAGACAGGCCTGTCTGATGTCTGGGAAGCCATCCCCTAGCCCATGACTCCTGACTCCCAGCCTCACTCGCGTTGCCAGAGGCATTGGTGAAAGGTTAAAAATCCTTCCCTTGTCTGGAGGGTCATCAAACTGCTTTGATGGCATGGGCAGAGGACCTCAGTAGACATTTTTCCAAAGAAGATATATATGAAAAAGTGCTACTGTAACTAATCACCAGGGAAATGCAAATGAAAGCCACAGGGAAGTATCACCTCACTCCTGGAAGCCTATTATTAAAAAGACAAGAAATAACAAGTGTTGGTAAGGATGTGACAAAAAGGGAACCCTTGTAAATTGGTGCAGCCACCATGGAAATAGTATCTGAAAGGATTGGCACGGTAAAGAAAAGAAAAGAAAAGCCAGGCTAAGTTTCTCACAGGTAGGAAATTTATTGCGCTCCCCAGCGAGGTTTGCTGCAGGGCTGGGAGAAGTGGCACCTGTTGGGGGATTAGGGCAAGCTTTTATAGGGCGGGGTCTGATTTGGAGGGAGGTGAAGAATGCGGAGTCTAGTGAAGTTGCTTTTCAAAGAAGTTTTTTCTCTCTCGGAACTGGTTGTTCTTTCAAGGCTGCTTATCAGGGCAATGCAAACCGGGCAGAGCCGGCTCCTGGGATGCAGGTGGCAGCAGTTTCAAGTCCCCCCCTCTGCCTCATCTCTGCCCCGGCCTCGACCTTACTGTCTAGAGGTTCCTCCAAAAAGTACAACTAAAACAGCCATGTGATCGAACCATATGATCCAGGTATGGACCTGAAGGAAATGAACTATCTCAAAAAGATATCTACACCCCCATATTCAGCCTAGTGTCTGCTGACAAATAAATGGGTAAAGAAAATGTAATTTATACATATATAATCCATATATTTGCATACACAGTGGAATACTATTTAGCCATAAAAAGAAGGAAACCCTGCCATTTGTAGCAATGTGGATGGGCCCTGAGGACATGGCAGTGAGGGGAAGGAGTCAAACAGTGAAAGACAAATGCCATACGATATCACCTATTGTTGAGCAGCTGGCTCCAGAGGGGCCTCCTTTGCAGCTTATGGTTCAACCCAGGCCCTTCTCACAGGGGTCAACGGTTACAACATAAGATAAAGAACTTTCTTGATGGGGAGAAACAGAATTACTGAAAG